TTGGGGGCTGGCTATCTTTGCGAAATGTCCAATGATCTCGTCAGCAATAGCTTGAGGACTTGAGCGTTTTCGCTTCGAATTCAACGTAGCTTTCGATTTTTCCCAAGCACAGAATTCTCTGATGACGCTTTGAAATGTAGAATTATCACTTTAGAGTAATGCGAGTCTGCGCCTGTAAAACGAGTTCCTATAAAGCTGCGGTGCTTTTCCATTGTTATTGCTGAAACCTATCCTGTGATGCCATACGACCAGTTTGTCAGTCTTTCCCCTGACTCATCAAAGGTCTGACCAAAATCCGAACTTATTTGCTACCGCGAGCGAAATCCTCGTCATCGATTCTAGCAAAACATGTCATATTCATAGTGTAAATATTCACAGAACCTTTCGAATGTAGAGGTGACATCCACCGTACGTATTTTGTCCGTTAAATGCCTACCATGCATCTAAGTGGAAATTAAAGCCCTAGGTATTTCGTAGCAAAATTGTCTCAAGTGAACGGTACATGATACACAGACGAAGTTGATAACAGTTTTTTTTTACAGCGATGTGGTTTCGAAAGCGGGCATATCATTTGGTTGATTGTGTAGAAATGTATCTTTTTTTGGCTTCAATACGATTTTGAATATTAGGCGGTCTTTCACAATCTTCTGTTCCGTGGACGGCGAAATAATGGTTACGCGAGAAGAGCTGTTTATTGATAAACAATCAAAAACAACTTAAGCTACTAGGGAAATAATATGGCCTTTTTCACGGAACTGCACGTGGACAGTGTGCAACGAGCGCTCTAGGGCGGCTGACCGGCTAATCAATGAAAGTTGAGAAAGCCGATGTGATTCAAATTATAAAGCCCCTCGTTGTGGCCTAATTAACTACTAACTTTGGCTGTAACTATTGCAGGCTTACCCTTTTGTCAGATTATTGGAAAGCTGTTGGACGGACGAGATGTACAGCGCTTCATATCCACGAACCCCTCGTGGCGAACGTCTTGAAAGATATATATGGGTATATATACTTCTGGATAATTGGTGCCATATACTAATGTGCGCTATGCGTTAGCGCGGCCTTACCTATTAGGGGTTTATACAGTAAAAGGTACTGAGATTAGGTTCAGCAGAACAGACGAAGGTTGGAAGGTTTTTTCATATGAGTGTTGGTACAGTCGCCTGTTTATGGATTTGCTTGTGCTTATGTAAAAGACATTTTTTTTTCAAAGTGCGAGCTCTATAGCTTTTTATCTCGGAGAAAGCAGCACTACTTTCTGTACCAAAAAGCCCTTAGTCAGTCCGAAGAGAAATGAGCAAGCAAAAGTGAAAAAAAAAAAGTTTTTTTAGATCATCGACTTCTTACTCCGATTACTCCGGTTAGTTTGATTTTTGTTAATATAATAATAATTTCGCAATCAATGCATGTCTAGCATAGATTATTCAGAAAACCTTTTGCCGAGATCTCGCTTTGACAATATGTTGTTGTCCGATTTATATAATGTAACGCCTGAAAAAATGCTTGAGGATAATAGTAACAAAGTGAAAACACTTTGTTACTATTATTAGCGAGGCCAGCAGAGCGCTACCGGGTTGTCCATTAGCAAAATTAGCTCAAACGAAGCTTTGCTAAAGGCCAAAAATGCAGATTTTTTTTGCTTACTAACGTTTTATCTTGGTTTAACATCTTGTTAGTTTATCATCCTATAGTGTAATATTCAGAGTTGTAGGTCAACATTATTGCTTATCTTAAACACGATCAAAAATGATGGCTGGTCGTGAAGAACAAAGCTAAATATAACTCAAAATAGAGCAAAATGAGCAAGACATGTCTAATATTGACAGTCTAACTCGGTTGATCTTTCAGCTCCGCGCTCCCTATCCAGGTAGGAACGAATACATAGCATACTCAGCTCAGAGGATTCAGGGGAGCTCTGATGCCCTCCTGTGAATTTACATGCGAGCATATGGTGTATAAAAGTCAAACTGTACAGCCTAATCTACTTCACTGCTTCGGTTTATTACCTTTAATGATATGTACAGGTGAGGAGCTGTACTGAAGGTAGTCCCAAGTACAACGCTGGAATGATACAGAATCTAAGAGATACATTTAATAGAAGCGGGGTTTCGCACTTGATTTGATAATAGTTATGCGATACAAAATAATCGTTTCAAGCTTTACGTAATTCTTAGCTAGCTAAATAATATTCATACAACTAGTTGAAACACGATTAAACAACAGATTTTTTTTATATATGTTTACAAAGTACACAGAGCACTCGATGATGATCTAATAGGTGAGGCTTTCCTTGGGTTGTTATCCACCTTAACTGATCATAAATTCCCTCTTATTTGGGCTGACCTCAGTCACTCACAGATACGGCATGTGTTATTTCTGTTTTCTAATGGCTGTTCGACCATACAAATCAAATCGTACAAGTCTTCACAAGAGATCTAGTAGGACGACGGGAATAGGCCGAACACGTAGCCAACAAATGAGCCAACTGAACGACCCCCTACTGCACAAGTTGACGGCCATGGCCCTGCAAGGAACGCCGTAGTCTGTTTACAGCGAGACACAAGAGCTTGCATTTCGCTAATGTTGCTTTTTTCGTTCTACTTAAAACTAGAAAAAGCCTAGAAGGCAGGGGTGGACGCATTATTTAAATCAGACAAAAACATAACGTTTATATAAACAATGTATTAATATTAAGGTAACTTTTATCTTGCTAGAACTTAATGATATATTCTCATTTTGAAGAGCGGCAGGTGCTGTGGACTATCGAGATTTATATACAAGCACTGATAACATATACCCACCCTCAAATTTACATTGTTGTTTTCTATCTGAAATCGAAACTTGTCCTTATATAGCTTCTTATATGTGTAAAAATTACAGTTACTGATAGATACAACGTGGGCTGAGCCTTTGGCCCACTAGAGGACAAGCGTATTGTTGTTAACGGGTACTACTAGATTTCTTTTTCACACTGGCCACAACAGGTTTGGCATACATACAAAACCTTATAACTTTACTGACAAAATGAAAATTCTTTCGAGCTAACATATTACCGAGCATAACATATGCCATTTACGCACTACCCGCTTACGGTACACGTAGTTCATATATGTACTGTTTGCATATCGCTATGCACACCACTTAAATCTATTAATTACACTAAACTTAATTTTTTAATCTTAACTGTACTTAACGGCAAAACATCGCCGAGGTTCTTCAAACGGACTTCCGTTACGTGGCGAGCCAACGTATACACACAAATAGCAAAGACACAAGGCAAAACACAACAAAGGGAAACGTTTATCCATGTTTTCCTTTATTGCGTTCTCTTCAATGTATAGAATATACCGCTATTATCGAAACATTGATGACGCATCTGTCTACGTGACGTCACTGCGTCGATCCGTAGACCTCCGGATTTAGTCTACATAAAAAATTTGCGTGTGTTATTGCTATAACCGTTTACTCAAATGCTGTGAACACTTGGCGAATTTTTTTTCCCTTCTATATTTACATCTTGATTTGTTGACTACCTTATGTATGGGCAGCACCATAATTTTCCTTCAACAATATACGGCTCTAGTTGAGTTTGCTGTAGGGGTGTTTTCTAACTCTCTTTCTCCGATTCTCTTTCGTTTCTTCTTACGTGCATACAAAGCAGCCCGTACACGATATCGGAAGGGCAAAACACAAAAAAGGAATTCCTCGTTTTTCACGTCATGCTGTCGCTACGCTCGGTCCGCCTGTTAGCATCTGCTAGTCACCCTCTGCCGACGCTGGTACACAAAGCCTTTATATTATTTCAGTCGGGAGATATTTCGCCCTCGGGGCCACAATCACTGCCGTGCTCGTCGCCACTGCTCCAGGTGGTGACAGCAGCATGGACATCCGGTTACGACATGAGCCTCTTAGAAATCTGTGTACCCATGAGCAGAATAAAAACGCTGCGGCGATAAGCGTACCTCGTGGAGCTCCAATACCTGTGCTCGGGTGCGAGAATTAGGAGCAGACGAATATCCAGAGGTAAAGGGGTCGGCGAGTATCGTACGGGACGCAGGTGAATAAATGGGCGCCATGGTCTCTGAAGTGAAAGCGCGATGTTATAAGTCTGCTGAGAAGCTAGCGTTTCGGCTGTTATCACGATCGATGTGCTGGAGCTGTTGGTAAGCTTATGGTATGCTACGCAAGAGATTCGTTTGATGCCGGTAACTTGAGTGTAGCCAAATAAACGAAGCCTTTTAGTCTAGCTGCCTCTAAGTTCGCTAATTAAAGGACCAGGAAGGAACTATAGCTGTGAATAAGAAAAGAGGAGCGGAAAAAATGGCACTTGAATCGATTTTGAAGTTTCGACTGAAGAACATTTCGAACAATGGAGGCTTATGAAGGTCAACAAGGAAAATAAAAAGAGCTCTGCAAGCCACAAACGCGTACACTAGCTAAAATAATTCCTGTGTACCACGAAATAAATGCTACTTGTATAGACGTTGCTCAATGAGTGGTAACAGGTTAAAACGACAAAGCGAGTTTAGTTATATTGGCGTTTACCGCTACCTGAGGCCCAGTTACTTGCGTTGTCTGTCTTGATGGGGCAATCTGTAGAGGTAAAAGAAGCGACGACTCAAACTGAGTGGCGCTATTCAACATGAGGGAGTAGAGCGGTCGGTCAATACTGTCCCGGAACACCTGGTACAGGAACATCTGACAATTTGTCTATGAAGAAAGGCTATTGTATCAGAGGCGCGTGACGATGAACCAAAGTGCTTGATGTGATCGGGTCGGTCATCGAATATTCAGCACTGGCCACATGCGCAGCTTATAGTTAACTCCGTCCTTGATATTTTCCAGTGTTCACTACCTATCTTTGAATTTTTTCACTAGCAATTAATTTAGTTTTAATAATAATAATAGTTTTATATCGATTAAAATGTATAACCAAGCTATCTGCTGTTTAGCCGTCGAACGACTGCTAATCTATAATTAGTGCTGACACTTCATTTCAGAGCAAGGAACAGCAAACTGCTGCTGATCTACCCAGAAGAAGGCCTGGCGTCTTTCCAAGGTCCTGCGCTAGGCTGGTTATCCGACTTCGTCCTGGCGACGCATTAGTGAAACGGCCAAAGCGGCCTTACGGCTCATTTCGCGATGTGGTTGTATATCGCCTTCTTCGTGCTCGCCGGTATCATTGTGCTGGCATTAATTATTCGAAGCGTGATTCGTACTACTGTGTACTATGACCAAATTCCAGATCTCAATGGCAAGACCATCGTTGTAACAGGTGAGCACTCATATCGCAGCGTTTGTATTTTCACATTCGAAATAGGTTTCATATTGAAAATGCTGCATTGACGCCTAGTTAGAATATAGTTGGCAGTAGAAATATGGACGGACTGAGGTGTACGTACGTGTATAATATTTTTTCGTATTTTCGGGTGAGTTGCACCGTTTAAATAGGGTCGTCTACGCTCAAATGGACACCATTAATCTCAATGAGCTACTGTGAGAATGCGTGATGAAGCCGACAGTTTCCTGTTCAATGTGAGATTTTTCCCATGTGATGGAACAAACCCTTAGCCAGGAAGCTTTATTGTCGGAAAACTCCTATTGACAATGTGTAAGGGAATATAGGGCATTCAGTCACAGGTTCCTCAATATACCTCCACGTTTAGTTACATATCCGCTCTTAAGAGGTCTTTATCTACGCTGAAAAGATCGTTTAATTTGGCACAGCTCTTCTGGTTTGACAAGCAATAGTAATGGGGTAGAAGGGTGGGTGAGAATCAGGGTTTGTCACCCTTGACCTAACGAAATTACTTGATTGGCCTAATCCTCTTGACTGACATGTACCGAATGCAAATCGCAAGTGGGCATTAGAATATATTATTATCGTATCTTAAAAATCGACTAGTTTATTTAAGTAGAAAGCTCAAAATATAGGAAACCCTTTTTTGTAGATGTTCTCTTGTAAAACACAGGTTTATCAAACGAGACAGATTCAGGGCACCAACCTCAAGCATTTTAAAACTAATTTAAGTAAAGGATTTTCAATGACAGAAAACGTAGCGTCATTTTGTTAGAGTCCAGATTTGGTCCTTTATCTCGCTAGGCTGCGGCCAATTCAACGGTTGGATAGCGACCGCTGCGTCTTACCGTTAGGAGTCGCCGCAGTCCCTAGACATACTAATGAGAGTCATTCATACGCAAGTACACTCTCTTCATTTCACCCCTGTGCTTGGTTGCAGAGCCACGCGACTGATATCCCATATTTGCGAAGCCAAAGGATTCTAAATCGATGCGGCGCCCACCAAATGACAGGCTGCTAGCAAAAGGAAGCTATCGCTTTTTACCGTAGGGTAAATTTTTTCAGCCTAAACAGCTTATCTATTTTTTCGGTCGAAGATGCGTAGATCACCTTTCGACACAGGCATTTATTGTGTCCTCAAAATAGCGTTCTGTTTTAGAATATGTCGAAGCCTTGGCGACTGGTGTCGACAAAAATCGGCTCCTTGGTATCCCCTGGTCCTGCCAATGTCCTCGGTGCCGTTGAAACGACCATGAAACATCTGGCTTTTTTCCCAAATCTGTCATTTGAGTAATGCTAACATGAACCTATCAGCAGTACGTTTACGCGACCCGAACTTTTGGAATACCGAACGGATCAGCAGGCTATGGCAAATTAACTCAACATGTCGTGCTGGAATAGTTCATAAAAATCGCTAACTTCGCAAGCGTTCGAAGGTACACGATGGACCCTATATATGCTACGGAATACATGGAATAAAATAACTTTCATGATTTGATGCTAATATAAACAAGTGTTTGAGTCAAGCATGTGATCCTTTTGGATAGCTCCCAGTTGCAAGCAAACTTGCATGAACGGATTAATTTAGCTTAGTATTAATTAGCATGTACAAAATAGCGATGCACTATTGATGAAAATGTCGATAGGTGATTTTTAAATAGAGTTGAAGCTTCCCTATTTGCTTCGTCTTGTAATGTATTCATTTTTCCCTTTTGCCTAACTGTGATGTTTTTTAAAGTAACTGTAAAAGAATTGGCACTCAGCCCAGAAGATCGCGGGACATTGGGGCGGTTGATTTGTTAGTCACTGTGGGACCGTTCAACTTGACCTGGCTATCTTTGTCGCGGTGTATTTCCCAGGGTTGGTAAACTCCATCAGGTTTGAATATTGAAAGGTTGGCGTTAGCCCATAGACCATCTGTAAAGGTGGACAGGCGGGCAGGTGGACAGGAGGCAGAGTAGATCCTATTTGAACCATCGTCGTCACGTTTATGTTGTTCGCTCGAAAAGTAATATCATGAGGTGGCAAAGAAGCATTACATAAAGGGTTCTGCTACCGTCCAGTTTTTGCTATTAAATGAAATTTCTGCATTTATGATGACAAAAACCTGCAACTGAACCTCAATGAATGGTAGGTTATTTGCACAGATTATTTTCAGCGTGCCTGATCACTGTCTTTTCTGTCTTATTTTTTAGTTTAGAAATACCTGTTTTTTTTTTTTATACCTACCGTACGAATTTCACTTACTTTACTTCACTGCACTGAGTTCCGTCCTTCACATTTACTTAGTTTATATGACTTTTTGATAATACAATCCTATTATGATATCACTGGATTTATTATAAATCACACAAATTTACACGGTGCGCTAATATAGTTTCCCATAATTCACATATCTTTACGATATCCGTATAGCTACAAAATAACTGTCTAGTGGTATTTCTCTGCGCTAGTTTGGGTGTCATCGCATATATCCACTGCTTTACCGTGCTGCATGTTTCTAACACACTCTTACCGCACACGCTTATTGTCGATCGGCGTCACTTAGAAGAATCGTTTGCAGGTAGTAAACGGCACCGATTTACATACGGATACGTTTACTGAAACGTATAGGGTACGTATAAGGTATCCGTTAGCATGTTCTGCTTGGGTGTTTGATGCACTAAACGGTTCGTCAGTAGCACATCCACGCATACAACCACGGCAATCGCACAACAAGTCAGGAGCCAAAACCATTATTCGATTTTTCAATTTCGCCTGTATTGGCAGGCAATATCAGGGTTACAACGGTACGGAACTCTTCCCGTAGCCATTTTGGGCAACGCCTTTCAGGCCCCATTCGGCTCCAGTCGATAACGTTAGCCACACTGCATTTGTTACAGCTTGTAGTGATCGGAATACAACTACCTATCCAAAAACCTTAGAATAGCACTCGTCGGCAAAGGGTTGGAAATGTTTAACCAATCTGGAACGGGTCGGACATTACCTCTATGAACCAACTCATTCTGTAGCGTCATTGTCTACGGCTTGTAAGATTATTATTACTAAGTTTTACTCGCCAAAAATAGTTTTACTCGCTATGTTCCCCTGTTGCCAAACTTTGTTGTATGCAACGAGCCGAACTAGGCCAACTTGGCTAGCAGAGACAAACCGGATGAACAACAGCGGATAAGCATACTTCAATAAACAAAACTTCTTAAAAAAGAGAGACATAACAAAAAGCGTCTTGTTGTTGTTATTTCTGTTAGTCGTACTGTTCTTGCTATCTTTTTTCGTATATTAACATCGTCGTTCTTCGTTTTATGTTTGTTGTTGGATGAGCCTTTTTCAGGCGCTTCAAGCGGACTTGGCTTGCATCTGACGGAAACTTTGGTGAAGCACGGGGCCCGCGTCATCACAATCAACAGGTAAGCAGCATATGCGTGCGTGGAAAGTTTCACACCGACAAGAAATATTTCTTTCTGTAATTTGGCAGTTTGTCTATAACAGGTCAATAGCCACCGACGTTGAACGCGGGTTGAAACAGCTTCACCAAACCGTCAGGTTCTTCGTACTAAACACATAACCAGTGGCTCGAATTTATGGCAGCAATTTGTGTCAATGCTCGCCTTTGCCGCTCAGGGGTAACAACGAGACAGCTAGATCGTACTGGCTGAAACTTGTCGAAAAAAGATCAAACTTAAGACTAGGGCAAACGGAAGAAGTGGAGAGGGCCGTCCGTGTATAGCGTTTCCATGTTGCAACATAGTCGTCAAGAAAGAAATTGGACAGCTTTAATGAGCGGGCCCCCTTTGATAGTAGCGAGCTGTCGTTTGATGCAACCATTTTTAGGTCGAATGGCAATATGGGGCAGCAGCCACGGCGAGGCCAGCAGGTAAGCAATCAAAAGTTTTTCAATCAAAAGAAGGAGCTTTTATTTAAAGTATCGGCTTCTAAGGGCTCTTGTTCAACTTGTCTGTTGAGGAAAAACAAAGTCACGTCATCGCCGATAGTTTCTTTCTCGCATTGATGACATTGTTGTGGTTAGGGAAAGCCGTACTTGAGATAGTGGCAACTCGTACGAGGACAGAATGATTCATCTTGTCTGCGTGCTGATGCGCCGGAAACGTGTTTGCCTTGCAAACTTAGGCAAGCGTGAAGTTGTGTGTGTTTGAAGCTGGGCGTAGATACATATAGTTTCGTGCCGAAAGGTGCCACCGGGAGCCACATGAAATGACGCTTAATTAAAACAGTCGTACGAGACGTAAAACTGCTGTTAGGAACATATGCTATTTGAAAAAGCACCAGCTTTCAACTGGAAGTTCCACAAGGAACGTCATACCCACCAGCCACTGGGCCGTTTCTTCTGACTGGGCATAAGCAACACAAAGGAAATAAAAGCATTTTCTTGTAAATCTCGTACGATGGTGTTCATCTTAGTCGTATCAAGCTAGATTGCATCAGCTAAAGTTGTTTTACGCATATAGGTCGTTAGCGAGGTGCGATAGCTGGCCTTGTCGTTCTATTTAAAATAACTAATTAATAACTAATAAATAAAATGTTCGCATTGCTTTGCCTCTAAATGTTTCAGCATTCGACCTACATTCAACTAGTGAGCACCAAAAAAGGGCTTTTTTAAAAACGGAAGATTGCTCTTGAGGAACCATAGATTTTCGATATCCTCGAGAACCAGTCTCAGTCCATTTGTAGAACGGCCAAAGTGAATTGAGGGGTATTAAAAACGGCCAAGCATTTATTGCACCAAGTAAATATAAACAAATTAGAAGTTTGCCTTTTCGTCGCATGTGTTTGTATCTCGACTTTTGAAAGTTGCCTTGGTCTTGAATCCGAATATTTGGCGATTTCAAAAAAAAAAACATAAAATATCGGATTTTCTACCCGGAACGTTATTATCGAACGTATCCTATAAAATATTCTTGTGAAATATTCAATAATCGTGTATCTGTATTTAAACAGATAAAAATCTGAACCATTATCCCTGGGCCGTTTAATTTAATTGCCCAGTCACTCAGGTCGCTGTTTTATAGTTCGACGCGCCCGAATTCTACAGCGAGAAATTGTTTATGAGCGGTTTCCTTCTATCAACGAGCTATAGACGTCTGCTGGGCACCCAGTGCAGAAATGATCTGGATTGCTCAGTATAGTTGAATGTCGCTGTAAATTCATGGCGAATTAACCTGCTTTCCTGAGCCATTGACTGGCAAACGACCGTTCGACCCTATTACTCACGAACGGCCCATAGTGATGAATGTGTGGTTTCGGCCATCGCTGAGCTATTGCCAGTATGCCCTACCATTCATATAGTCTTTCTATAGAACCTTCGATTCTCTAATGGTGATATTTAGCAATGGCAAAGTCGTTATTTAGATTTTGTCGAAATCATATATTCCTTACTAAGTGTATTCTTAAGGTGCGATTTTTTTTACAACTAGTACGTTCATATAATAACCGAAGGTCTTAGGCCTGTTCATCGCCATACGGCAAGGACTTCAGTACCACTGCAAAAGTGACTAGGAAACGGAATGTCGAAACATCGAAGATAGCATTTCAATTGTTTTTATGCTCTTTGGTGTTCTGTCGTACGTCTATACATCTATTAGACGTAGTGCCATATGCGGCCGATCGTTACATTTTACTATTAATAACAAGAACTGAGGTTCTACTGAAGGAACTGTTTACTTAAAATTCTATTGAATACAAAAATGCAGCGGAAGTTCACAGATAGTATCCCAGGGATTTTCAGTTGAACTCATCGACGTGACTAATAATTAACGGGATAAAAACTTAGTTTGAGATGGATAGGACCGTTCAGGACGTTCATAGACAACTGGAGATCTAAAAGCATGAAAAATTATAGCAAACGACATTATGATCATAAACGTAAAGTGCCCATCGCATTTTAAATCATCGTCAATAATTTCAATGCAGACCGAAGAAAACAGTGCTTGGAAAAATGTAAAAATGGGAAAATTAGCGACAAAATTAAATAGCACAATTAATCCACATCATTTTGCTTCCTGATTTGATGTAAAATACCATGTTCGTGTACGGCCGGGGGTGGAGCGTGGTGTGGCATTTTAAAAAAATGATTGAATAAACTATTGTTTTTTGAGGGTACAATGAATGGTGCCTAATGAATTTACTGCGGGAATCCGCATTCGGAAAATAAGATGGCCTGTTTTATGTCCCACAGGAAGGAACACCTGAACACTATCGTCGTGCCGTAAGAGACGCCGTAAGAGTAATTTTATAAAAAAACTCTTATACACAAACCGGTTGCAGGAAGACGTTTCGTATAACTCATAGAACAGAGACGATGCCAAAGGTGAAATATGGAAAAAAAGAAAGGCCCAATTGTGAAAAATCCATGGCATTATATAGGGATGGAAAATGAATCATTCGAACTGTGAACACATTTTTCGGGTAACCCCCTCTTAACGATAAAACTCGAACGTAATTATGCTCTTAATCAGATGCTCCTAGTTGTATTCAATTCTCACTAAATTAATTGTAACCAAGATAAGTACATTTTACTCAGTGTATTTAGGCAATTGTCTAACCGATCAGATTCACATCTTTAAGGGAAGCAGGGTTGTTTTTTTGTTTTTTTTTCGTTAAATATAATTGGAATGGACTTTTATGTCGACAGAAAACAACAGTGAGGATTCGATCCTACTGTCCACACGGTCCTGCTGCTAAGATGGCCTGCGTGGGTGATCAAATTTGCGTTTAACATTGTTTATTGTTTCGATGCGTACGCTTATTTGTACCAGCTCATTCAGGCCCTTCCAAAGCAAGTCCTTATGGCTATCTCCGGACCTATTTTGACTAGCAACTGTGCAAAAGCACACTTGAATTAGTATTTCAGCAGTGCAAGCTGGGCTAGGGACTGAAACTTGAAATTAGTTAGTCATCCTATATGTTAGCCTAATTTATGTTAAAGTTACCAGACATAATTGAAAGTAACTATCTCCGTTCTTTGTACCAGGCATCTGGATGACATCAACTTCGTGCAGCATTTTGCGAGCGAGATTGTCCGAACAGAGAATCGTATTGACTGCCTCGTAAACAATGCAGGTAAACTAATCAAGTGGCTATTTGAATCGTTTAATATTTGTAAACAGTTTTCTGTCCAGTGTTTCGGTTAAAAAGAGAAAGAAAAAAAAGCAATGAGTTAAGCCCTATACGAGTTAAATCCTAACAAAGTAATATTTGAAAGTCACACAAAGCCTTAGAGCAGTCTGAACCATCCTAATTAACTTAATAATATAATACGTGACAATGTTCTAGGCCCGTATGCAGAAACTAGGGTCGAGTTTACTGATGCAAAATGATCACTATTATATTCTGTTTACTGAGGCAGTCTTTCAAAATATGCACCGTTTCCACTGAACTATAACCCTATCGTGTTCCGTCACGTTTACAAGTATTTATTTTCCCTAATACAAACTGATATCTGTCCTATGTACAATTAGGGTTCATATCTGTTGCATTTCAGCTCTTCTGAGAGAAGCTTCTGCATAGTCAATTAGATAACACAATATGTTTAGCACGTATGAAAAAACGTAACTTAATAGGTACTTAAAGACTTTTGTTTGGTAGATATAAATGCATGGATCATTTTCTTAAAAAGAAATTGATTTCTGTGTGCAAAAATCGTGCTGGAACATCAAGTTGAACTTTTTAGTATCTCTGACCACATTACAACGATATTATACGAAGTTAATTAAAGAACGTAGCGATGTCTGTCTGATTCGATCTGTAAGCCGATTATGTTAGCATGTTAGGCAAAAAACGGGATTTTCATCAACCCTGAATGTATAATTTCAAAGCTAGTACTATTGTCCCTTTTCGTTCATGAACATGTAACCCTAAAGAATGATTACTGCCACGGAACAGAATCAGCTCGCTTTCTACCACGGAATCGGCTATCACTCATCGCGCCAACCATCGCTCTTTATTACCTTAGTTGCTAATTTTGATTTTATTGATATGGCTGGTTAACATTTCCAGTTCAGCATTTGTTAATGTTTTCGTTTAACACTTTCGATGCTTATGTCTACGTACGCTAATCTTGGGTTTAGCTGACGTATTTCCTAGTTCTTCTCACTAGGTCTCTTCCCGACTAGACTTTATCATAAGAAAATCCGAGAATTATATCTATATATTATATCATATAAGCGCTACGACTTAAGTGCAGCGGGTATGTAGGTTCATGACGTGACTCTATTGGTCGTTTTGTAAGTCTTTAATAATTTTATTACATAGTTATCACACATTGATGACTGCGTTAAGGTACTTCACCTGAAGCAATCAGGCAGCAATTTTTCCGTCAAAGGACAGAAGGACAGCTCTTATACGCGGCAATCTACTTAACTGTTAAGCTTGTTGCTTTTATTGTCGTTCAATACGAGATGTTTGATGGCGTTCGTACTGTCATGAACCTACTCACCGATAGCTGGACCTGAAAAAATAAGCAGTCCTATGCGACATTAAATGACACGTGTCAGGTCATATGCAGCTGACAGACGCGTACCATTGGATTAAGTGGAGTTGAATAAGTTTCAAAGCTTTTCATCGGAAGATTTGCCTGTGTTTAAGTAAACAAAATTAGGTGTCCTATTTGCCCGTTACTACTCTGCTATCCACACCACCATGCAACACTCCCTTGCTCAAGGCTGTGTGCGTATACGCTTTGCTATGTTAACGAAGCATAACACCAGACAGGGCTGTTTACCAAACGCTTCAGCCAACATATCTGGGCACGGCGTTGTTTCTCACAGGTGTTTCTCGTTGGGGTAGGTTTTATTCGGTATGTCCTATACCTATCTCTGTGTTGCTTTGGATAATTACGTTTGTTGTAGATGAAGTATTGGAATACATTTTGGTGCTTGCTCATTAAGGCTGTACCTAGCATGCAGTTGCTTCGCATCGACTAAAAGGGAGATAAATTCGTAACGTTGCCACACGTTCGGTATTCTCGTTTTGATTCGAATAGAATCGTAGTGAAGAAACGTGCGTAGATAACTCATAAAATCAGCAATATGTACGTCAGAAGTCGTGATTAAATCGCATTCGAGATTCTGCTTCGTTACCGTCCTTTTCCACTCACTTAGCATAATACTTCGAACTTAAGGCAAAAACTGTAAGGAAGTGACGCATTCAATGTGTCTCTACTGCCTCGCTGCATCTACATGAATGTCCCCCTTGGGTTTTTCTCCGAAGTTTTCCCTCGAAGGCACTGCGGTCGTAAGTCTTTCGTACATACCCCAGAAGATCGGTCAGAACGCAGCAGACTTCTTTTCATTTCGCCTTTGTAGGTAGCCGGGTAAAAGGGAAGAGGCAATTAGAGGACGGAGAGCGAGCTCTCAAAGGAATTAAATGAGAGTCAGATCAAAACGCATGGAGTGTCCATGTTGTTATTTTCTCCATTTTACCATGCATAACCATACTCGGGTCGTTCTAGGCCGGTCACTTTTAGTTTGTTTTATCTCTTTCAAGAATCAGAGGTCAATGTTTTGTATACGCTTATGGGTAAAGCTCATTAAGGCGCCCAAATCAAGCAGGTTTATTTTAAGCCAGGTTCACAGGGAGCAAAATTGCGTTATGTAAATACGAAAGGGTTGACTTTTGAATGGGATTTTTTTCATACACAATTAAAACATCGTTAAGAGCTATAAAATGGGCCTTGATAACGTCGATGTTTATATATTGAATCTTACGAAGCATGTGGAAATAAATGGCTTTGTGTTGGGAGAGCTCGTCAAGTGTACTTATTTATTTACATGACGTTTTTTTGAAAAGGGAAACTATCTACATACGTACAACTAGGTGTAAACGAAGCAGAGATTTATACAGGGAATTTTGCCTCTTCTTTCGAAATAATTCTAAACTATATTATATTGCACAACCATTTTCGAAATAAGGAAAGCGATGGAAGTTTCATTCTGTGAACGTCGTACTAGGTTAACTAATTTTTCATTTTCGCGTTTACTAAACTGGAAAAAATCGGGTACTGCAAAAAACGCCCAGGTAACCAGCGAAATTCAGAAACAATTATCGACATGCCTGCAATAGCATACGTACTCAATAAAGCTTCATGATGCTCAACGTATTTTTTAAACCGTCATTCTTCGTACACGTCACCCTATAATGGCTACGCGTTTGTCTTCCATTTTAGTATTGCTTACTGACCGAAATAGGATGATCGACAATCGACAGAATTGATTCATCTTACAGCAGCCCTATCAGCCAAGGGAAGGCTTTATTCTAAGTAGACGAATGTGTTCCTCAGTAATTTGTACTTCAACATGCAGTACGTGAAGGGACGAAGAGGTTTAACCAATTATTCTATCATTATCAGTTCTTCTATATATATATATATATATATATATATATATATATATAGTCTCTACAACTTATCTAGTTAAAGTTTCTTATACGCTTGAATGCATGACGTCGTGTATTTATGATTAAACTACTAAAGTCTAGCTCTTTGTACATATGGCAAAACAGTAATTTACAATGTTTTGCATTACGACCTTAAACTAGCTAACCGTTCGCGTATAGGCAACGGTTGAGGCGTTTTGCTACCTGTCCGTAAGTTCCACTCGGAAGTTAGTGAAGTTCGGCCTACGTTAATTGGGCAGCTAGATCCTATCGCATCTAAAACCGCTGCTTGGCAGCGATTACCTTATTGGAGAATATGCTCCCCTGACTCAACCGAACTCCTATCGCACCGGATCAGTGTTCAGATTCATTTTTACTGTTTGTTGAATCAGCCCGTCTGTCTGGCAACCGCTAGGGTGTCGTTGACACTGCCCAATCAACATTGCTTTCTCTATATACTTGATTGCACTAAAGGGCAGAATGGTATTATATTAAATGTGGACGTGTATGGAGGCAAACGCCTTCTCGAGGAAACACTAAGCGATTGAAATGAATTTTAGGGTCACATGAGGGCCGGAAAAGTTTAGAGAAGCGTGGGAACTGTGATCGTCGATTTCCTGAAAATAGATTTAGACGAAATTCGCATTAGAGCAGAAGCGATTTTCGTTAACGTTATCGTATGAGCTCTGTTTAGTTCTAATATCAATGTTTTTCATTAGACATCATAGGCTAGCCTCTATTTAAATAGGACAATAGGATGGATTGTGAAGAATTTTACCACGAAGATCTTCTTACGACAACGTATTGAACCACGAAACGCGCTGTTAATCACACTACTATCAATAATCTCTTCCGCATGTTAGTTCTAAGTCAATATAAAGAAAAATTCTGTAGCGTGCAACGCTGTTCTTATGTGAGTGCGTATGGTGCCATCCCAACTCTGTGTTTGAAAATGATGCCTAGAGCGAATAGTTCTCTAGAAAAAAAAAGAGCATTTTAAGGGTAACAAGAAGAATTCCGAGTGGAGGTCTAATTTAATCTATCTATGTGGCTCCGAAGTTCGGCAAGGTTAGACCATCCTTGCCTAAATTGTTGCCATCTAAAAAGCGTAATTCAGAGAAGCTTGAGGAGCAGGACTTGCCCAACACATATATAACAACTAGATCAACAGCTTAATGAGATAAGAGTTAATCTTATTCATGTTTTTATTCGTCTTTTTTTTAATGCTAGTATACTCTATTGTTTTATCGCACTAAGATACCCAATATGATATTTCTTGAGATTCAGTTTCTAGATAGATATTTACCTTTACGGTTCTCTCGTTAGTCTGGATTACAGAAAATTCCTTAACTCGAAGAATTCGCTTATACTATCAAGACTCAACGGATACGGTACGCTTTTCATTGGCTCCCGTATATATGCCTATAAATACCTGTATAGTTGTTTCTACAGGGGCAGTTTATTCAGAAAATAGCTGAAACGGGTTTCCGCTGCAGCTGAATGGTCTTTATGCTAACACTTCTTAAGATGTGCATTACTTATCATAGCCTTACATTCGCTTACAACTCAACAGAAGGTGTTTAACACTGAGACACCATTTCCTATCCTTCTATATTAGATACCTTAAACCTAACGAGAGGTGCGAGTATTACTGTTGCATGCGCATTCACCACCTGTTGCCATCCTGAGAACTGTCTTTACTTCGGTTCTTTTTCAATTTTTACTAGGATCCATTCTCCCGTTGCTCTAATAGCTGTCGGGGCAAAGACCCCGGTCTGTTGTTGTTGTTTGCTATATATATATATATATATAACACGTCACAAAGCACAATACACAGGTTCGCGTCGGACTCACGTCGGCAAACAACAGAACGTCGCGCTTTAATCAAAATGTTCTAAAATTCGTGTAGGATCTTATTATAATATCTCAGCCTTGACAGAGCGCCCGAAAGATAATAGCAAAGCAACAAATGAGAAATTCCAGCGTCACAGATTTCATAATTGGGCGACTGGACCTACGCTAAAGAGAAAAACAGACGGCACGGCATGATTATTTCGGAAACTTGTGAGTTTAACACTTAGAGTTTTATGTAGAGTATATTGTTGGATAATGTGCAGAACCTTAAGGTATGAACCGGTGTCAACAACACCGACCGTACAAATTTTTCGCTGCTACAATTTACCTTTTCACAATACGAAGCGAAGCCGTTTTACGATAGTGTGTAGATACGCTTGACGCTTGAATACGACACAAAACTAGGGAGAGACTTATGAATTTGCGAATCTGAAACTAAGTTTAGATCAAGGTGTGCCCGGGCGACACGTTTGTTGGGGACTTTATGGTGCAGGAGAACACCTCTGGCCCAGTAATTAGCACAGGAGCACTTCCGTGTTGGAAGCACCATCAGAGGCCATAAATTGTCAGGCGAAACGAGGTGCTGACCATGCATTCCATTTGATAATAGAACTTGACAAACTTTTGCCGCGGTGTTGTTAACTGATTATTGGTAAAATAACGATAGCGGAGGCCGTGTCGACCGACCATCAGCCGTGTTCTTCTAATGGACCTTGGAAAAGGTTATGAGAAATTCAGTAGTTGTCCTTCTGCTCGTCCAACCTCAGCGCATTTACAGAGAGGCGGCTTTGTTTATTAGATTGGGTACTTATTTTGCTTGACTCAGACAGTCGGATTTTGTAGCGCTTCGTAATTTTCGACCAGATCAAGAGGTAAGACCTAATTTACGTTTAAACAACCTTGCTAGACATTAACCACTAAGCATCCTCACAATGGTGATTTCGCTTCGGTCACGAACTTATGTCGGCTCTCATCCCAACAGACAGAAACAGGAAAAATAGTTTTGTCTATAGTTTTCAGGTTTTTCTTAGGAAACTCTTGAAAATCACTCGCATGCATTGAATGGTCGATCTGAAGTCCCTTAGCAAGTTTAAACATTATTTATATGGGTTATTTAGTGAAATGAAAATAGCAGCGTATCGCGAAATTCCAGATTCTCCACCCTTGAAGAAAACATAAAACGCGCAAATACTCCATAAGCATCCCTACAATGTAAATTATGCATTGTAGAATAGAAAATGAAAAGCAGTTACTACACTACCACGATAAGCGTCGCTATGTTTCTATGCCCAAGTGAGCGTCTTGATATAATAGCTATGAATGTATGAACGGCAAAGATACATACTATCGGAGTGGCACGTTCCAAAGTCTGCACAATTCTTGCAGGTTTAGGGCTCAAGCAGAAAAAAATTACGCATGTATACATAGCGTGCGATATCGTTGAGCTCGTAAAACCAGGGTTGATACGGGGACGGCCGTCTTATCGGAAGAGACCTCAAAATGACGCCAACAAAAACAGAACCTAGTGTACTTGCATCATTTTTTTTTTTATAACAAAATGTATTACTATTAAATTTTACTTACATTCTACGATATAAGATGAGCATCATTCATGCTACGTCATATTTGCTTTGCTTAGTCTTTGGCAACTTTTCCGCCCCATTTCTTTAATAGCGGCGAAAAGTGCTATCCAGCGTCTATGATAAAACATTTGTTTTTTAAGTACTACAATAAAGAAAGGTCGAACAGAGCTATGCCACATGATATGAGGGGGCGTTGGAGGTTACTCTGCCTGGGGGTCAGATTTACGGGCGATCTCCTACTGTATTAGCTACGAAGAGGGAGAGAAGTTGTCGTGCTAAAACTACATGTCTTCCAAATTTGTTTAATAATTAAAAGTTTAAGATAGCTTACGATCATCTCCAAGCAGCGAACAGAGTTTAGAATATGAAGAAAAAAAACGGCTAATGATGCTTTCAGTGTACGTACCGCACCGGAAAGTGCTTTTTTTTAAAGTACGTAAAAATATAGTGGACAAACTTAAAGAAACTATCCGCGTCGCCATTTGAGAAACAGGGCCAGACGTATGCAAGGAAGTGGCCAAAATGTAGGTGAAACAAATAATTACTGTGAAGAAAGCCAAGGGAAGTTGTTCTATTCAAATAAAATTTTACAGTCTTCATTCTATTCAAGTATATAGAATAAATTAAATAGCTCGACAACGAAGAAAGCTTTGTGAAATACGTTCAGATGTTTTTATCAGCGTTATTTTCAAGTTGCTCCCGACCAGATGACCGTCTCTGTCTTGAAACTACGCTACTATCCAAGGCTTTGTCAAGGTATCAACATGAGAAATGCACTCTGAAATTACGTTTAATCTGTTGTTTAGAGATAGGGTTCCTCAGACCCGCTACCCTTCTAGACTCCTGTCGCCATTGAGTTGTTTCGGTACTGTGCATAATGTTTTACCGTTGTGACAATGTGACAAAATTGTATAGATCACCTGACGCAAACAAGCCCTGACTTGTTGTTTTATTTTTACATATATATCAGCTAGTCATAGATAAGGCATTCGATGGGAAAGATAGGCGATATGTTTTCGGTTTTAATCACTCACACAGCAAAGCTTTATATTGTTAAACGAAGCTCAAACGGCTTAGTTGTGTTTACCGCGTATTCGAAAAGCGGCTTCTAGAAAAAAGTTTCCGCCTTAACACATTGCCGCTTCAACGCCCCCTAGGTTTTTCAGTTTGCTCCACGCTGTCAGACAAACAAATCGATTAACACAAAAAACGAGATTTTAGTATTTTTCAGTACACATCATATAGTAAACAAGTCAGCGGTTTAAATTAATGAGTAAAACAGTATCGACCACACATAGCAGAAAAATCTAGTTTTTTTTTTTTGTTATTCCGTTCAATACGTTATGCTGACGGCCCTACTGATTATGATTGCTTTCTAGATCTATTAAATCATTCTGCTTCAGTAAAGGCTATAAGCTGATGAAGATATTGAGGGCACCTTTCGGTATACCGTGGAATTTTCAATCGCGCCGTATTAATACACAATGCAACATGTAACGCTTAAATGTAATATTTCATATTTTTTAATAAAACGGGTAGCACCAGCTAGACACACACAATTATAGTGATTTGTTTTAATAAAGAAGAAAAGAAAAACATTATGTAAATAGTTCTGGGTGGACAATTTTCTTCGTCTAATCTAATCCGATCCACTATACATACATAAGACCTTTTCTTTTCAATTTTTATCTCAACTGATGCATCTACCTTTGAACGATGAAAATATAGCGTTTACCTAACGATTTTCCTAAATAAAAGCCTTAACGAGATAGTTAAACCTGATCCCTGCGACATGGCTAGTTAGTGACGATGCTGTTAAAATTTCAGTGTAAGACCGTTTCTTTCCTTGCCTCGTTTTTTGACCGTAGGGATTTTATGCGATCCGGAATTCAGCACTGACGGCGTCGATCGGATGATGGCTGTCAACTTTGTCGGTCATTTCCAGCTGACTCGTTTATTATTGCCGAAGATGCGCGCTTCGGAACATGGCCTCGGCCGGGTCGTAAACATCACGTGTGGTCGCTTTGCGGAGGGTGATCTTCATCTGCTATTTGATATGCAACGAATGGAACTTAAATCTGGTAAAAATGGAACTCTATTTTCGCATGGCTTTTTCTCTCAACATAGTACCTATGTATACTTACTGAGTGTCGAGTAGACAAAACGTTTCCCAGCCCGTTGCCAGTTCAAACGAAGCGTAATTTTAATTTAAATACCTGTATTTAAAGAAATAACTTCCGTTACCGTTCAATAGACGAGTGCGCCATGTTCAATGTCTAGCGGAATAGTAAAAATAATCTCATGTATATTTGACGAAGTATGCGAAGAATGCCTAGATGAAGATGCGAAACAAAGCTTCTACAGTGAGTAATTCATTAGATATTATAGTTGTAATCCGTGTAAAGGCAGACTACGTGGCGACTGTATAGGAGGGTCATTCATCCTTGAGGTGTATTTACGGTTGAGGTCACCTAAGCGACGCGATATAATACTGACATAACAATCATTACCCAAACACTTGAAATAAAGCCCAATGATCGGCTGTAGACCCCTTTGCAACTGGTCGGTATTTGCGCGATCTCAAACGATGGTTAAGGAATACGTTAATTATCGTGGATAGATTCCAATCAAGACGTATCAAAAACAGCAGTGAATTAGGCAAAAAAAAAACCCTAATTAAAACGTGTATAGAAATTTTGATACTCGAGATTTGCGCATTACCGTAAGCGTTTAAACGCGCGACGTCGCGTCATTCGTGAAAATTTTGTTACTTTATTTATGAAATCAAGTTAACTTACAGGGTCGCAGATATCTATATTTCGACTTTTACGCCCGGTAGCGTCGTTAGGCATACCATCGGACGGTTGGCTCCCAGTACGAAACGAAGTTCATCTATGCCCTATGGGTTCGAACCTAGACCACAACGTGTCCCGAAGATTAGGAAGCCCCTTACAAAAATTGTACTTATTTCATTATCACGATATTCGATTTTTGAAGTGCAACAGAAATAGTGAGGGCTCTATTAATAGACTGACGGGCCGTAGTCGAACGGTGAAGTCGGTGTCCGTATGCAACTGATTGCAGGACAACGGGATTGCGTCGAGTGTAGTGTAGTGTAGTGTCGACGTAAAACTCATGTTCGTGCTAACATGGCAAAATTTCCAGGTTAAAAAACGTAACTAGACAATTATGTTGATACGATAACATAGGTGAAAATACTAGGCGAAAATATAGAATCTATATAACCGTATATAGCGGGACTGCTCTTACGTAGGCGAACGATCTGCTCAGGTACTTGTTCGGGTCATAACGGACGCCATTCGGATGACTTGCATTTTCATAGTCGGTTTACGTGTTGCTTTTTGTTCACAGCTGCTCTATGATTTAAATAGATGCTCAACAATATAACATTGTATACAATTCACTAACGATAATAATAATGATAAGTAGAATTGACCTGGCTGTATAACTCCGACTGGTGTGCTTTTGTGTGATTTGTACACCTGTACATAGACCTCGTTTATAAATTTATACAATGTGGTGACATGGCACCTACGTAGATGCTGCTATCGTCACCATGTTGCTAAACGATTGATTGCCGTTCACTAGCGCTAGAAATGTAGACGTCCATGTTAAACGAAATTAGCGTTTAATCAGGAGAACTAACAAGGACAAAGATGCCTACTATGTTATCCCCAATTTCTGCAAACACACTTTTAGCAAATTTCGTACGAAATGCGTTTAAAAAGGGCGATTTTAAAAGCAGGCCACAACCGCTGAGAAGCATGTGTGTTTGCTCAACTTGGAAACATGTAGTGGTCTGGGTTCGAGTTTGGGAACTCACTTAGTTTCCAGCGGAAAGGGGCCAACCACTTAAGTAACGGCTCAAGTACCAGACCTAAAACACGCAAACTAATACCGTCAGCGCTAATGTAGATATTAGACACAAACGATAAGATTGATACTAACACAAGATTATATCGACTTGTGTGTGCACTTTGGGGTTAGTATCGGATACTTTGGGGTTCTAAATTTCCTGCATTACTCCTACCCTATCGTGGTATACAACAGCGATTCAACGGCAGATCGTCGTTTTTTCGAAGCTTCAATTTTATCCTGCACCCCTTAAGCGTTAAGCTTAATATAAATGATAGTGGTAGGTCACATCAGCTCAGATCTGAAAAAGTCTCGACAGAGAATCAGCTTCTAAGATCTGCACAGTACATGCCATATAACGCTCAAGTATAACTTCTAATGTATATAATGTCGCTAACGAAACGTAAAACACGCTAGTATAGCACAAGTAAAAGCTTTTTTTAAAATGATATTATACCTCCGTAAGTGCTAGTCTTTCTAGGAGAACAAAATTCGTATTTTAGACTATTGTTGTTTTGCCAGTTACTCGCGGCTATCCAGAGCGACAATTTTAAGTTTATTCTATCTGTTTTAGTATTTGTCACGAAAAATCAATATAGAGATCGATTAAAACTACCCTTATATTCTAAAACAATCACGATTCTGACGACACCTATACAAGGAGATGGCTTTTAGCATGTAAATTGATAAGTTGGTTTGCGGTGAGGTTTTTTCTTCTATTTGGAATAACAATTTTTAGTTTTATTCAGCGCTTTGATTTAAAATATCCTGGTTTTGCACAGCAGTGTTTTTTAAATTGGCTTGCTTTTGAGAACACTACCTTTGAACATCGGCTAAGTTAGTTTCAAACAACTTCATTATTCGGTGCCTAGCTAAAGCGAACTCATTTTTGTGTCCTATATTTCATTATACGTGATCTAGAATTTCGGCTTTCTAAGCTGTCGAGTGGCCAGCCTACAGTTGCATCTTCACGATCTTCACGAGGACGAGTGCCCGGCCCCTAATTTGATATCGGAGGACTCCGCATATGCTGTATCACGCTAAGATGCTACGTATATTTCTCCAGACTTCTGAAGGCACTTTGAACCATCTCTGACACCTCTAATTCTGCCACAATCAATAAATTTTATTAATATTGCTCCCGGTATGGGCTCCAATATAATGCAATACAACGGTGACAGAACTGTATGACGTTTAACTTTCATTGAGTGCAACTCTATCATTTGATCGAGTCAAGTCAGTAAGTGGTCAGCCAGTTGTACAAAATCAATAGCTATAATACACGCTAGGGAGATGAAGCTCGAAATGCGTATACAAATGAACTCGTATACAGGATACCGGAGAAAAGACTGCTTCTGCTAGAAATCTTTTTCCAATATCTTAAAAAGATTTTCTAGTAACGGCCCTGTGCTCGTTCGTGGAGCAATAGGTCGGTCGATCTTTTGTATTTGCTACATCAACGAACATTTTCTAAAAAAAATTGGCTTGATAACTTTGGTTTCGCTCAGTGCTTTTGCTATGAATTTGTTTCAGGTGACCTCTATGGTTCGAGTTTACCGTTTCGCCGTTAGGCGTTTCATCAGACGGCTGCTTCAGGTGACTTGGATTTCATATGATACTACAGAGGCCTATGTTAGGCCAGACTGACAAAGGGAGCCCTTATCGTTGTCGCATCAAGGCAGAACCTATAATATATTGCTATTTCCCACTCTTTCCTTTATGTGGCACCTATAGTAGCTCGAAGAAGAAATCAATGCCGACGTACACTAAATTATTGACGTATTTTATCTTTCTCCGCAAATCAAGCACTTATCGCTCGACTCAGCCTCAGACTTCTCTTCAAAGCTTTATGACTTCCGTTATGTCGAACGAAATAGTTGTAACCTTGACCGACACGATTATAGAACGGCAAAGTCACTTGGCAGGAGTTTTTTTGGCGAAACAAATTGTGGGTTCCTAACAAGCATGTTGTAGGTGATCCTTTCGGAAAGTTCGAGTTGCCTACCATGTGGGCGCACGCCGTGAGATTCCGCTGTTATACCCAGTGACACGTGATCTTTCAACGTCAACTAGCATACTCTTTGTGAAGAAGCCTCTCGTATTTGTCTCGATTTCCGTTAACAGCCGTGCCAAGGATAACGGTCGTTGAGGTTCCAGTTCCACAAGCCAAATCTGGCAGATGATGATTAAATCGATATTGGACTGATGAAAATAAACCTGTAATAGGCACGAATTAGTTAGTCGTGCATGTCCAGAATCTATTTTCTTTCAATTCTGAGCTCTTCACGTATCCGCTACGCAAAAACAACATCAATCTAATACGTTTGCAACAAGCGTCACCTCCTTGTTCTCAGAACAATGACGGAGTATTAAAAATAGTTTTCTAATATTGTTATGAGTGTTCTGCAGTTACCCGATCGATCTCCAAAAGTATACTGTTATCTTTAAGTGAACGTAACTTGCTTTTGACTATGGTTCTAAACTGGCGAGACTTCTGTCATTTCGACCCTGTCAAAGATTTGGAGTCCAGGTGACCCTGATGGTAGCATTTTTGTTTACTAAACTTAAGAAACACATACTGATCTAGGTTTGAATCCGAGCCTGGACACACATCATTTCGTGCTTGAAGCCAGCCGCGTGGTAGAACGCCTAATGGCGGCACAGGACGTATAACTCGAAAGACCTTAGTTGAGGCCAAATAACAATTCCAGGGATAGCACACCACTATAGTCTTAATACCTATTTGAAGTTCGATTTTAACACATAATTTTATGAAACATTACAAATTAACCTTATTTGGCATAAAAGTCATCGTAAAACGGCTGCTTTATAGATGTGAATCTTTTGAATCCGCGTTTTTCCGTATATTTGTACCGTGGCCGCGTGGAAAGGCCTGACAGAATGAAGTACCACGTGAATAACATGATACGATGTGATGGGGCCAGCATTCGCAAGCTGAACAAACTTTGACAGCTACTCTCACAGGATTTCCACCAGTACTCGTTTATACCAAACCTGCTTTATGTTACGTGAAATCTACTTCGTATGCTATCTCCGTACTATGTATGTTCTAAGTTGCAAAAGATAAATCGTGACAGGCTAGCGGCGGAGGTATTTGCAGCGGGTGCACCTTGCATGCCCATGACATCACCTACAATAAGTAGACGAAATAAAGGGAGAATCCTCGTAGCAAATAAGCATTAAAAGAGAAAGAAGGCTTTTTTTACATGTATACACACTTAGAAGAATACTGAACAACTAGCCTTACCCAAATAGCACTTCGCATCCATATCCGGACACGTAAAGGCATCAACGAAGGTGATGGGAGCTTCTTCGCGGGTATTATTTGCGCTATCGCCAAGCATATGCTAAAGGGAACGCAAAACCTTTACGCGCACACGAGTATTATAGTGTGGCGAGTTTGTTCCCTTTGTTGCTGTTGTTGAATATTGTCGCTGTTCTTGTCAGTGTTGTTGCAGCGGACGTTGGCGAATACCTCGATGCACTTAGGCAGAAGCAAATGGCCCTTACACATGCTAGCACCCTATGTCGTACAATATGGAGAAGAAAGAGGGCGAAAAGGCCATCTTAACCCGTTCCGGCGCTGCCGCCTCACGTCTGCTGCAAAATAGTAAGGCGCCAATAACGTATGTCTTTCTAAGGCCGCAAACCGGTATACTCAGATTGGAAGAAGTGGCAAAATATGGGGTTTCCTGGCAAAAAGAACGCTACAAGCAGAATAGAACACAGTGTTCCATGTACATACGGGGGCATCAGAAAAAGCCCTGCGTAATGCTGGCCCCGCCGATAGATGGTAAAAAATAACAAACGTACAAAGAGAAGGAGGAAAGATAAAGCGAAACCATGTGTCTGGCTTCCTGCGTCAAGTACACCAGCAGTGTTTTCCAATAGATACCCCAAGACGCTTACCTCCCTTTGGAAAGAAGTCGTTGTGGCTTCTATGAAACGTCGAAAGACAGAACTGAACAGCTACAGTTTGACCGATAGTTTCTAGTTATTCGTTAATTGAAAGTAAGAAACAGACGATATTAGCCTTTGAGCAGGCGGAAACAAGGTCACCTGTACGAGATGAGCCCCACATTTGGCCTATATGAAAAGGGCTTTGCTCTAGAGATGCTCGCATGTAAATATATTAATCAGACCCTCTTAGAAATAGCTATGAAAATAGGTTAGATACACAGTATAGCCTATCAGACCAACTGTATGCACGTAATGAACTTTGACTACTGTGCTTTAGAATGATACGAGCAAACCGTAACATTTTCGCCGCGTCACAAAAAAGATACGCAAGCTAGTTAAAAAAAGAAACTCGCAAGGATCGAGGCGCTCGAGATTGGGCGCGAAACGTACGTTCCGCTTTTTTCCACATTTAATTATATGAAGGCTATGCACATACTGATCGACTTCATGATTTCAGGAACTTCATATAAAATCCGCGACTGGTATTACGCTTCGAAGCTTGGTCTTTACCTCATGAGCCGCGAACTATGCCGCAGGTATAAATCTAATGAGTTGTGCTCAATCTGCGTAGATCCAGGTAAGTTTGAAAAGAAGATAGAGAAGGAAAATTATATTTAGTATTGACTGCTTTCAAATCTGTTGTGACATTATAGTCTAAAAACGTATTTCCATATATTGAAGCCTTCTAGTTAAAAGTACAAAATTACATCCCGAGTTCAAGCCGTTACGTACCTAAGACTGACAGCAAATATTACATACATATCCAAGGTCTTAAGAGTTATGTAAGCCATATTGTTTCTCATTCATCAGTTCTTTGAAAACACATCTTTCCTAACTATACTTAGAAAACGAAAAAAGCCCTACAGGTAATTGAATTGAAGTTATCAAATCAAAGTCTACTCCTTTTTATCCATTTAGAATTAGACACAGTCAATATTGTGTCGTTCTATCTAAGACGGGTACTATCTAAGATGTACCAATCAAAGACTGTACGCAATCTTCACGGGCTTTAAGTAGGTGGGCGTCAGAAAAAACTTATACATATAAACCGTTTCCATTGCAGAAAGTACGCAAAGGGCAATCCGTCTCTATGTATGTAATTTTTTTAGCAACACATTCTAGTAATTTATACAATGAAACAAGTGAATAAATTAGATAACAAAAAAAAAAGCGCGAGTATCAGTCGTTTTCTGCTTCTGTTTTTCTGATCTTGACTTTTTCGTCTTTGATCGTACAAAAAAAGGTTTATGTTCTTATATTCTGGAAAGCTACATTTCCCTATAGAATTATTTGACGCTACTTTTTTTCTTTGTCTAGAATTAATCCTTTCTATTCTTTCGATTATCTAGCCTTCACCAGCCAGCCACCGTAGCTATGCCATACAATGTACGTGTAAAGATCTACGGAGCTCGTAGAAATGGCACTTATCGAACGAATGAGCCTGATCTTTGAAAAAAAAATTAAGGGGGGAACTCATATGAGAAATTGCTACAACAGCAAGAGGGGAAGTGAGGAAAAGTGTTCCATGAAATTTGTTGGCTAAAAGCGAATTTCATGATTAGGTAGATATGTTTTGAAATAGTAACCTCATTGATAAAAACGTTGGCTTTTTTTTTTTTTTTTATATAAATAGCAGAGCGTATTTGTAAATTAGCATTTGTCTTTAATGAAAGTTGCTTGTGAGAATCATAGTGCTATTTTTCCTCTGACCGTTTCGCCAACGTTAGCCCAGTTGGCGTCGCATCAAAAAAAAAAACGAACGCTTGAGAAGAATCAAACGATCTCGAATATCTTCATTTCTTAAAAAGTATGCAGATATAAGCATTAATTTTTTTGTTATTACATGGTATGTTAATAGATTATAATAATGTAGTTAGTAATTTTTATATGGCAGACAGGTGGCTAATATTAGCCCAATAAGCCTCGCACCTAAAAAAATATGCCCTCTCTGCGCAACTACGATCTATTGGGGCTAGTTAAGTTTATGAAGTATGACTAATAGTTTAGTTTACTCACTCTTGGAATAGTTTCTCTGTCTGTTTAAAGATACTCACATTGTCACCACCCGCTCGAAGTCCCCAGGTAAAGACATGTGTTAGAAAACCTTAGTGATATATGTCAAACTAACAATCTTAAATAGAACGCCATGTAATACCGGATTAAGCTGTTACAATGAAAGTACATAGCTATCATACTTACTCAAGTTTGCCAGACACGAAAAAAAGGTCTTTCACACATGACTCAACAGTTATTCCCGCATAGAAATCCCTTTTCAAATAAAACTGTACCTGTAGGGTGCAAAAATATTCGCAAAAATTGTTTTCTTGAAAGCACTTCTTTATAAAGCCTTTTGCTTGTCCTGCGAACTGATTTGTTACGACACGTACACGAAACGGATCCTGCAGGGAACTGCTGACGTGACCATGCAGCATCCATCGCACGTTTTTATAGCAAACGATCATGCCAATTATAAACGTATTCGAAAAAAAGAACTTAAAGAGTTATAGCTACTTTTGAAGCTGTAAACAAAAATAGAAAATAAAAATCTCTGCTTCTTCGGTTGTCACTCACAACTTTTAGCTGTTTGTACTGCGGCTGCTCCATTGAGCTCAATGTATGAGCAATTCGCACGAAGGGCTAGTATCACACTTGAGGTAAATTATATTATAGTGAAATCTAGAAGTACGTGTCCAATACTTAACTAACATTATACTCATAGCTTGACGTTTCGGCCAAAGTTGAAATGTTGGAGAATTTCTATCAGAGCTTACGCATATTCGACGTTACAGCTTCTTAAATTTTTTCCCGTGGCCTCTTAGTCGTTCATCACAATGCTGCGATCTAACTCGGCAATATGGTGCCCAGATACCACGCAGTTGGCCACAGGAGAAGGTCTACACGGTATCATTGTAATACATCTTGTTGCAAACATGCTTTGCATAAAGGTACGATTTGATTGTTAACGTTCTTCGCATTATACAGCGGTTAATCCAACAGTATACTTCGGGCAGGTTGGCAAACGAAAACGGAAAATGCCTGTATCCATTCACATTGGTTTTTATTAGGCAAGACTGTCTTTTGTACCTGTTCCCTGCGAAATGCAAGGTTCAGCCACTGAAAACCGTCTTCCATGGGAAATCCACAAATATTCCATAAAAATTCACTTTGGCAAAGATCTTGAAATAAGGCTAATTGAACACCCCAATGCACCCACATTAATCTCCGGTGTCTCACTAACGTCATTGGTGCTGCATAGCAAATTTCCGTTGGTTGCTTTTCAGAATGACTGCTTTGCCGCTTGCGTACCCGCAGACCCACTTCATAGTCGATACGTTTTTGTCGACTGACGAAACTGAACGAAGCCCAACAGTGGCTTTTCTGCCCCCTTTTTTCTCTCTTCTGTCCCTTAACTGGTTTTCTTGCTAGCAAGTTGCAGTTCCTTACTTCCGTCTTTTGGCCCGTATCAGCGCCGCCGTTGCTTGGGACACTGTGATAGTGCATGCTGCGTTTTTTTCGCTCTCAAATGCCACACAGGGGATACATAACCGGTTGATATTTGAACAAGTCGCTGCCATTCGAGGGTTACCTATGGGGCATGGGTTGGCCGCGTCAAATGTATCTGTAGCGAGATGTTTTCCCATTACCTGTGTCGTTTTTCTACATGCGCTCTACCCCCTATGTAGCAAGGAATTGTCGTCTGCAACATGTGGGGCACGAACGTTAGCAGCGCCAAAAAAAACAGTATCTGTACTGTCATTTTTTAAATAACGACGCTGCGTGCTGATGGGATATGTTCACAGGACAAAACATGGACGGATAGTGGGAATATGCATGCTTTTAGAGTGCAACAATGTGCTCAGTTGGCGCTGGTAAAGTCTTCTTCAGCCTTTTTAAAGTTTACTAGAAGACCCGTAGCCAATACTGCTGTACAGAACAAGTGCGCGAGCGAACCCGGTAGAAGACGTTTTGTGTGATGCTTCTGTTTGCGACTGGGTCTGTAGCGTTCATCTTCTGACTGATCTTCACTGTCTTCGGCCCCTTTCCGTGGCTATGACGATGGCAAATGACCAAGGATGAGCCGGTGACCTTGATATACACTCTTTTGCGGACAGAACCATTGCGCGTAGAGACAGAAGCTGCCGGGATCGCTGGTATGCATATTATACAATGTCATGCCAAACGAAGCTTTGTTTTTGTCCTGGCCGGTAGCGCTTTTTAGACGAATAAAGGAACGTCGCATCTGTTTATTTATCAAAGCAAAACGTTTTTTGCCTCCCCCCAGAGATTCGCGCATTCGAAATAGGTCCGACGTAACGAGCCATCAAGCGTGTTTCGATATATTTGCTCGCAGTACGAACGGGTTTGAGAACGAAGTTCCATAGTGGTTAGGTGTAATCTGTCCACTTTAGTAGCACATACATTAGTATAGTACTTAGAAACTTCACTGCGGACGCATGGAAGTTGGACACAAAGGTTCAGTGTTCGCTCAAATATTTACCGACTCGACGACACAGCTAGATAAAAACGTCTTCATTAGATTAGAAGTTGTATCTAAAAGGCTCGCGAATAAAACATTTCATACCCATCAGCAATTGAGAGTAATAACTCAATTAATATTACAAGCGCTTCCGTTGCTAGAGAGTATAGTAGAAAGCCTTTCCTAGACTACTTCTAGGGACACCTAGTTCCTATTTCTTCGAACAACGCAGCTTTCCGGTAGGTACCGCGAAATGCGATCATTTTTGTTACAAAATAATATTTTTTGTACCAATGTATCAGTAAATCTGAATATACTGAATAAAAATATCCGCGAAAAACAATATTGCAAGGCGATTTTTTGTGGCTAGTATTAAACCACGAATAGCATAGAGCATCGGATGCAGCGACGTTTGCTATCAAACTAAAAAATCAACGTGCGTAATTGCATATATATAGTAATCTTAACTTGTTTATATACATATACATATATATATATATATATATATATGCTGCAACATCTTACATGGCACTCTTAAAGGACTAAAGTCGAAAATAAGAATGCGTCGGTACAGTGGCTAATTGTAACTCGTAACTTATCTCATTGTTAACAGTTACTCAGTCGTACATAATAGGTCCATTGTTAAAATGGATTTTCTGTCGATATAACATAAACATTAGAGGCAAAAAACACATGGATTGAGAGCGTTTCATGTCATATGACGGCAGAGACTTTGATGCCGGGAAGAGTCGTCACAGAGGAACAGACTCCATTTTGTTCCCTGACCGATCTTTTCACAGTAATTCAAAATGCTGTTTGACGACGACGCCGAAATGCATTAACACTATCTAGCTCGGATTTGATGCATGTATCAGGCACGAAAGAGCACGACCACTACAAATGAAGGAGGCACCTTTTTCATATATAGCAGAGAAGGCATAAGATTTGCCTGAGATGATCTATGCATGTTCAAACTTTACTCATCAGGGCACAATGTTTACCTCTCAAAATAAATATAGCGGATAATTTGCGTTCTTTACATATGCCTCAAGGAAAATTACTGCTCTTTGTTTCTTGGGTCTGTTTATGATTAAGGTCTCCGAGTGGGTGCAATGTCCAGTTTCTGAATGGAGGATTTCATTAGCAATTGAGCATCCATTTATTCACTGGTATATAGCAGTTTTTCAAGTATTAAAAAACATTTGAAGATTGAAGCATTTAAATTGCCTATTAACGACAGACGTATGGAACTTGGTATCGGACGGGCTTGTAGATAGGAAACCGTATCAAGTGAAATCTAAACCTAGTGATTCTACAAAGGCCGTTTTAGGAAACCCTATTCTGACAACTCTTTTCATCAAAATATACTTACCCTACACTACAATTCGTATAGAGGAAGTATGCTTCATTAACAATGGTCACAAATAAATCAATTTCAGAACTGATCATTGTTGAAGCCGTTGTGGGACTGGATTCGATGCTATAAAGCTCAACCTAATCACGTATCAATGTACTGTTAAATTAAATATTTAATAAATCCAAATTTGATAGATAATATATTTACTAGACATAATGGTCAGCACTATGGGCCTTGTTGCAGAGTTCTTCAATGATACTAGATGGACCTACACAAGCTAACTAGTAACAAAACAATGTCCGTGTCTGATGCTGCCAACGTGCACCCTTCACAACAACTCGCTAAGTCACTGAAGAGCAACATGCTCACTTAAATGATGTCTCCTCTACGGGCGTTAATAGATAGATAGCTGTTCATAAGTCTGCGGCTGAGTCTATTGTGAACGGTCTCTTTTGTTTCCCCAATGGCCGACATGAATAGAGTGTAAGCGTACTTAACGCAGATGACCTGCGGTCTCCTGAGGAGTTCTAGAGGAACCTTCTGTTCTCTCAATGAAGAAAATAGATAAATAGACGGTGGTCACCAGGCCAAACGAATTAGTAGGCTTGACTATGACCGACCGATCGCTATATATAAGTTAGTACAGAAAATAATAGATACTATAATAGTCTACCCAATGATCTATATATATATATATATATATATATATATATGCAGCAAATAAATAGCGTCAAATTAATTGAGCGTGCTCCTAACTTTCCATAATATTTTCTCAACAAAACTGAACCACTGCGTGACGCGAAGAAGCAATGCTAACCTATTAAGCTGTTGCTGGAGCGTATCGCCTCGATTTGTCCGCTCTAGTCACGCATCAACTCCGTCTTCCGGCCTTCAGTCTTCAGTTTGTATCCCGGGTGTTCTGTAGTAAGGCCTTTTTCGGTCCACTGCTTACTGACTACATGTGCGCGCACTACCTCGGCCATTCAAGGCTGAACGAAGCGGCATCTACTTGCGTCGAATAAAGTACGGGCAATGTGGGCAATCAGGGGCCTTTGACTGGTCGATGTCGATAATTATCTGAGTATCTTTGTATACAATAAGTTAACTTATAGATTTACGCAGAATGCTGTTACTATGTAGATGTGAGGTGTCGAAGAATAACTTTAAGTTTCGTTTTGTATAACTGGATTTATTATCGTTTGTAGAATGTAGTGGTAAGGAATCAGTGAAAAGTCTTTTCGTTAGAGGTAAAAGAACGTATGTGTCCCTATATGTTTACGAATGATTTAAAATGCGTTCTGTTGAATTCGTCTCGTTGGCTGGTGGACGTGAACAAATCGTACGACTTATTGTTTCTATTCTATTGGGTATATTATTGTTGAAATTTACTGCTACACGCTTAGTAACATGCTTAATATTACAATCAACTCGCAACATTGATTACAAATATAGGGCCTGCAGGTTAACTGTCATGCTTCTTATGTTTATTGCCAGTAATTGATGAAGTAAGAAAAAGAAACTGAAACTCTACTTCGGTTGAGCTTACCTCAACGGTCATACAGTATGACGCCTTCTCTAACCGTTATCTTGTTCTTGCGGTTATCAGTTTTTTAACAATCATCCCTGAGCTCAATCCGAAGATTCTGGACTATGAAAAACATGCGACAATGCATTGAAAATATATTGGCCAAGTCAAGACTATCACGGAACGGTTGGCGAGGCTATAATGTCTTGTGCTCAGGCTAAATCAATTGAGGGGTATTGTTAACACATTTTGCCTGAAAACCTGTCTACTAAGTACCTTAGAATCTGATAGCACAACTTCCGAGAGCTATAATTAAGTGGCTGGGTTAGTCGCGTGTTATTTTGCGTTCAGCTCAGTTAACTTCATTACCACCGCATGCTTCAACGCGCCCTTCAAAATGTGCCTTTGCCCTTTTTTTTTAATTGTCATCTGTCAGCGAAGCGCCAGCTTTGTCATGTAGATTTACTGCCATTCCATTTATCAGTGGTTATTTTATAAATCGTGCGGTTCCCCAAGATTTAACTTTAAACTCTTTTTATCTTATATTTAATAATAATTTATATAAGCATGTATATTTATCTTTTAAGTGAATGTACTACTTTTATGCATCGAGTGTCGTGAACACGAATTTCATGACCTCTTTCTCATAAGACAGACTTACAAAGCAGCCAACGCATATATACCTGACTCTGACAGGCAATATGAAATGTAACTATGATACATTTGGTACTATTGCGAGCATCTCTAAAACGAACTGTGTCCCCTTTAAAACAATCTCTCAATCCTTTACCAACTCTGATGGGACAGATGTTCCCTTAAGTTTATCCGCAAATCGCCTTGGCATGATATTTTTAGACTAGTCTGGTCACTTGGTTGAGTTATGCTCAGAGTGATATGCTTGCATAGGTATGCCATGTAGTCTACCCTAACGTACACCCTTGTGCTACTATTATAGTTTATTTTTTTTAAGTGGTAAGTAAATACGAGTGGACAAGCATGGACCTTTTGATCTAAAAATCATGCGGAGCCTCCTGAGAAGCAAGTGTGACTTAATAAAGAAAGCGGCTCTCCCACTATGACTGCTCACTAATCACTTTGACCGTGGCCCGGTAGCACTGAAATATTGTTTCAAACCATCACCTACCTAGAGAAATAGTCAATCGCAGAGGGCCTGACATATTCCGGGACCTTTTTTCTATATGATTTGCGTCTAACCCTCACCACCAGCTTCGCTTTCAACTTCGTCCGTAGGTAATTCGTTAGACACGTACACGTAAACTTGAGACTATGGCCTGCAGATTCCGGTCCAAACGAGAACTGCCCTCCTGCGTAGCCCGACTCAGATGACTTACCGTGTATTAGCATTCTCCTAGATAAATTGAGCTCGTTCAGGTGTTCACACAAGCCTATTAACATTTGCTTAAACTGTATGAGGACATATTTACGTTAGGACCGGCAAGCATGATCAACGTAATGACATTGCATAAGCGTCATTGTTCCCGTTGATTTTATGCTCTTGCAAAAGCAAAGCTCAGTTGCCATCTACTTAGGCTCAAATCATTACATAATAGGATGTAATTCTATTGGTCGAAGGCCACCATAAAATAAATACAATCAAGGTAGTTTAAGCGGGACAGAATATATACGTATTTTATAGTGGAAATTTAAAGCACGTTATAACATTTGACATTACTCGCGGCTCTATATGTATACTGTAAGCTTCTAGTGACCTACAAGGACTTTTAACTTCTTGGTAAATACACACATAACGATAATGGTAGACATGCTATGTTTACAAATTGATATTTCTACGCCTAACGGTAATCACTGGTCACGGGATTAATTACTGCCTACGCTCAGCCTCCCATCACCACGGCAAGGATATTGAGTCGCCGGGAGTTTTGAATAATTTATTGGACTTCATGCGCTCAGTTGTACCCACTCGTACGATTAAAGAGTAGTTATCAGCAGCGTTCAGCCAGCACCCATGTGCTTCACTTTCTCGTAAAGGAGAAATGTAAAAACGAATGGTAGCCATAATCCTGATTCTCACATACGGCACTAGTAGAAACGGCCTAAAATACTACAGTATTACACTGCTTAATTCCCTGTCATTGATTTCGATGTAGTACGCGTTGGCGTTCGTAAGCAGGAACTTGCCTAAGCAAGGAGACTCAAAGAAAATGCTCGGAAACGATGCTGATACGTTAGCATCGATAACACTTACAAGTAACAGTGATTGCTTTTAACGAATACCTACTGCGATTGTAGGGAAGAGATCGATTGTGAAATTTGAAACACGGGGTATTTTACAAGTCAACTTGTAACCACTTCGGAAACGAGGCCATCCAGGCGTTACCTATCTGTTCCTATCTTAGTTAAAAAAAACTTAATTGTATCTTAAGATAATAAGAACAAATCGCAGATTGAATGAGTTCGTGCATAGTCAATGCGTGTAACGTGCGTTAGCCAGCTTACATGTACCTAGACCCAACATGATGATAACTTCCACGTGGGGCACTTCGCATTTTGCTTAACATGAGTCGTCTTGTCTACCTAAAGCTGTATACGAGGGACTAATCCATAAGTAAGCTGTCAATACTTCCATTGCTAAAATGAAAAAAACGCTTTTCGACATTCTAACTTGTCGATTTAATCCAAATCGGTTCTAGACGGATCTCTAGAAGCGCGTTTACGACGGCTCAACCTTCCTTTGATATCTCGAACTCAGTGGCTCGAAAGCCTAGCTTGATACGTTGTTCAGTCCACAATCTAAATACGGTAAAGGGTTATATACCAATCTTGCAAAGCGGCATCATCTACTTTCAAACAAAACATTTGTATTGAAAAAGTTATTCGTTAGCTTAGTGTGCGATACCGCGATCGGGTACTACTTCGAATGGTCTGCATCCAGAATAAAAAATTGTTTACACCCCAATTCGAACCAAGATCATTGGATTTGTCTCTAAATTTTGTAGGCACACACATTAGTAAATGCACGCAAAAAGGGCTAAAGAGTTTTATTGATAATTTCTACGCTTTCAGGAGACAATATCCAACAAAAATCCGCTTCTCTCACGGTGGGCAGGTTCTAATACAACACTATCTAGAAAAGAATCGAGCTCCATTTCCTTATGGCATTTTTTATTTACATACACCATGTTTATATAGCGACTCATGCCTATGCCATTCTCATGTTCTGTGAAACTTTACAGGTCTTCTATCAACAAGTTTTTACACTCGATTACCACAGCCACATCGCAGTGTGTGGTGTCTCTTAGCGATGTTAATGTTCCGCTCGCCGGAAGATGGTATCCAAAGTGTGCTATTTGCCCTCTTCGACGAAAAGGTTCAATCATGTTCAGGAATGGTAAGTTGTCAACTTTTGAAGGTTTCATTGAGAAAAGCCTTTTATTTGCATACATTGGGAAAAAATTTCGATAATGTCTCTTTTTTCTGTAAAGCTTGGTATATCCAATGCAAGCTCGAATATATATATATATATATATATATATATATATATATATATATATATATATATATACATATCGAGCCCTGTGAATGGTAAACCAGTAGGTTAGTATGCTCAGCCGCAGATTGGGAGCCCTTTCAAGAAAGCAGAAGGGACCCATTTAGGCACAACTTCCGGAATGACACGGTGTATGATGTCAGATGTCATTTAGATCGGCAGGACTGTTGTACTGATAAATACAAATAAACAAGAAATGGGTTACTTTTCGGGAACAAAAAAAAGCTGGATACAACGAAAGCCCTTAAAATATTAGCATAAACGCTTCTCACTCTTGATAGACAGCCTTTGACTTAGGCTCCACGCATGGACTATTTTGGGAAATAAATAATAATATAATATAATAAATGAAAAGAATTAGACAACTCTAAATATTCGAGGATTGTAGATATCTATATTATGAATGAAGTTTTTTAATATCTCTTATCGAACTATGCAATTACAGTTAGTTTGTGAGTATTAGAACGACTTCTGTTAGCATGGTCATGAACAGAAAGAATTGAGGAACGTTATTTATTTCCAGCCGCAAACTAAGAGCGATGACAGAAGATTAGAAGACTTCACTTTATATGAACTGTTCGAAGTAGTTTATGAACTTGAATTTGGGCTATTTGCCAGGCATCCCAAGACTGGTGCTAGGAAGCAGCATGCGGCACGGTATCTATCCGTTCTCGCTATATCTGGGACACCTGAGCCTGTCAGCGTCATGTAAATCCCTTCGTTGAAGCCTATACTCGTGACCGTGAACCACGATGTATCTAGTTAGTCGGTTAATGCCGTTTCATTCGCTGTTACTTATCGTATTTGAGTTTTTCCTCAGATTTATTTTAAAGGCCTTTTTTTCAAAAAAGTACAAACAACGTAGCATATTTCCCGCTACCAATGGGAAGTTGGCCAGAAGATATGTAAGGCAACTGCGGGTCGATATATATATAATACCTCTGCTCTCTTTAACCTTAATAATGAAAAGCGGACTAAGAAATAACCATACAGGATACCAAGTGCCAACGGCCATGGTTCTGCTTCCCCTTCAGAACTTCGTCATCTCCGTGTCAGTCAGGTGTGCTGTTACTTCCAACTCTGTGATTGCCACTTGCGGTCTGGCTAGCACCTGCTGTACTTTTAGCCTGCTAGACCTATATAGCAGTAAGGCGTTTGCATACCTTCAACTAACTTCTTCGGCCGTCTTATTTGATTAGAGGTCATTCGATAAGACGAAGAATGAAAGTGGGCTTGAGCTGGCCTTCAAACTCAGACCAGTTGTCTCTAAAAAAGGTAGAAGTTAGGCGCTTCCATCGTCAATGGTTACCCTATTTTTTTTGCAGAATTGCTGTGCGCAAACACACACTTACTATAACTTGTCTGAGAATTGAACTCAATCTACAGTGGATAGCGTGACGTTTTTCTTGGCGTTTACAGACTAATCTATTTAAGATTATTGAGGGCTTCCAATAGTAGAGTTCGCATGCTAAATACATCTGGACATTTTGCTAAATTAAGGTGGTTTCCTCAGAGTTTAGCACGTTGCATTAAAAGTTTATACGGTATGACGCAAAGTATCGTACTAATCATGGTCAGCTATGAAGACGGCAATCTTGAGCACTTCGGCCACATGATCTCTTATTCAGCGCCCAACCCGATGTTACCCAACTCGGCAATGTGCAGTGTATAAATAGCTAAGGGTTAGCGACATCTATATATATATACATGGTCCATTTATAACCAGACAAGTTACTCGGCATTTCTATTTTTTTGTCAGGTAAACCTAATAAAGACAGCTGCAGCATTCTCTGACAAACCTTCTCTGTCGAAAACGCTTTCGGTGGTGCATATCTTAAATGCTACCTTTGAAAGAATCTCTAAATTTTATGCTTTCTTCAATATGCCGTGAGACCATCGTAGGTGCAACAGGAGAGAAACATAAGAGTTCTGAACGCAGTTCAGCTGAAACAGTTCCTCTAAAAGTTATTAAGCATAACTCGTCTAACAACATTTCTAGTTAAATAGGGAAATAGGCTTGTGTTGAAGTTTGCCACTTCTGAATATGTGGATGTTGAAGCCATCCGGACTTTTGACAAAGGAGGATAGCTTTTCAACATCAAAGAACATAATTACTTGCAAACATCGTAACACAGCCCTATATCCATAAGACGGCACACAAATATAACTCAAATATATAGCAAAGATAACTTATTTGTTTATCAATACGTTTCCATATACTTAGTTTATATAAGTCTATGAACAGGGAGCCTATTTATCATTTTTATGCGTCACCGTAATTTTTAGATAACCTGGCCTATTCTCATTCACAATTTGCAAAAAGTACACAATAGCTAGTGATTATGGTTCTGAGCTTTTAACTGAAGGAATACGTTGCTCTTTGTTCTAAGTTATTAAGTTATTATTATTACATAGAGTACCACTCTATAGACAAATCCGCATTTAATTGATTGAAACGTGTTTTAACATCGTTTGCATGAGGACGTTTGCCATGTACGTCAGACTGGCCTTCGTGAGCTCTTTAACTAACAGTTCCAAATGGTTCGTCGTTCCTTAATGTACGCGGTGTCGTAGTACAGAAAATATACTTCTGCTAAATTTACTGCTTACTCGGTTAATGTGAGATAGAAATTTAGTCAAACATTCAAGGGTCCTATGACGTTTAGCCGTCCTTTTCTTGTGCAACGAATAATATAAAACTAATAGCATGTTTGCTATACATAAGCAGATATAATGTACTCTACGGTAAGGCAACTTGCAGTTACTTTGCAGTATTTTAAGTCCAGATGCTATAGGTCCAAGTTGCTTAATAAGTAACATGTATTTTTCTAATGAAGGACATGTTCGTTTAAAAGCGCTGGCAGGCCATAGTGTTCTACGTGTATTAACATTTACCATGCATACAAACATCACTCTGAGTTACGCTCGTGTTTGTTCTTAGCGGAATGGATTGTCTATTGTAATATAGAAATGCACCTGAAATTTAATGAAAAAAAAAAAAAGAAACGTCAGCTACGAGCGATTGCTGATAATGTATATATACATTTTTTTTATTTTCCTTCACGAACTCTTAGAACGAAAGCTTACCGAACATTCTAAATGCACGAATTTTTACCAACTACCAATTACTGTTATAGGTATTAGCCTACGCGAAAGTGTTAGTGGTTGAACAATTCTTTTATAAGGGGTCCGGTATATAACGAGCACAATAAAAGTGATGGACTTATCTCTGTTTGCATTTAGAAATATGTCATCATTTATCATATTACTATTATTTATCTTATTTTAAAGAGAATAAAAAACATTTTATGTGCGACATTTTAGAACCTAGACACAAGGTATCCAAAAACAAAACTCAGCCCTAATGATAAGTACTCCAATTCTGAGACTTAGCTTCGCCTTAGAAGATTTGTATTGACATGCCAATTACGCCATGTGTTTTAAAAACAACAAATAGTAAGACTGGAAAAGTTCCCGCGCTTCAAGGAAACTGCTCTTTCCTTACTTGTTCGCTTCTAACACATACTTCGAAGATGCTCTGTCAGCGTGTTGTAACGGCATTGTGTTGTGCAAGTTTAACTTGAAGAAACCTTTGAAAGAGGGGCGGCCTAAGTGGAAAAAAGCGTGTTTTACACACCTCTTGTACCATACATCGTGTACGCCAGCAGCGGTATCGCTTGAGTACTGCTCAAGAGTGGCTTACCAGGTTCGAAAACGGCACCCGGGACCTAGAGGATGTTCCCTGCTCTGACCAACCGTCTGAGTTTAATATCAACCATTTAAAGGCACTTTTGATGGAATAGAACGGACAGATAACTCGAAAATCAGATAAAATGAAGGGTTACAGTGAGAAAACCCTCGTTAGCCACCTTAAGCCTGTTGGATTTACATATAAACTTAGAGCTTAGGTACCTTATGAACGCTCCGAATTCAGCAAGAAATCGCAGATTAACGCTGTGTATCAATGTCTCAATACCCAGTATCGAGCGTCACGCAGCCACGATGATCAATTCTTACACAGAACCGTTACGGGCAATGAAAAGTGGTATCTGTACTATGTAATATGAATTAGAGATCGGAATAAATGGCTTAAGGAAAGAAGCTAAGGGCCAGTGTTCAACCAGGTCTTTATACCTATGTGTAACATTAATTTGGTAACACTAGCAGAAAGAGAGTATTCTATTGAGAAACTAATATATATTTGCTTATTGTCAAACTATATAAGAGACGTATAGGGCCCTAAGCTTAAATGCTGCTTATCTATAGGTAAACTAGAATGCCGAGATAGTCCAGCTTCTTTCGAAAGATTTAGTCTACTAGCAGCTCCATTAAAAAGAGAAGCAATTCACATTAATGTTTACTTTTCATTGAAAAAATTTATTTTCTGTATTTGAATTAAAGGTGTACTCTTAAAAAATCGTGTTTACGGACGTCATATTTCATACTTTTAGAAAGAATTAATCTTTGAAAAATTCCTCCGTGATGATAACCTCGTTAACGAATCTGGTACTCCAGTTATACGATTCGGGTTGATTTTGCGAGCTGGAAGTTTTTATACAATGGTTCTTGCAGCTTCCACTGATGATTACTGTGAATCAAATACATTAAGTACGACCCTTCGTTCTCCATAAATGGTAGTAGAAGTTATATTTAGTTTCGAAACGGCGAAATAGCTTTTTCCCACTTGTTTTTTTCAAAAAAAAAAAGATTCACACACTGCTACGATATCAGTAGAGCCTGCCATACAATTTCTTGAACAAAATACGCAGTTACCCCGTGGCGTAATCGCTGCCCGCGACACAATGCCAAAGCCACATACCTCAAGCTAACTTCATTTGTGA